TATAGTCCTCGGCAACCTAAAGGATCAGATTCCTGCAAAGTTTGCATTAAAATGATCCAAAAATATGTATGATTTTTGTTTCAGCAGCCCTTTTACTTACCTGCACCTGCAGCTGTTGCTTAACAGCCGCCTTACAGCACTCTTTTTACATAAACTGCTAATTAACAGTACTCATTTTAATTGAGTTACATTTCTGCCCCGTACGGGTATGCAATGATTTTTTTATTCTAAGATTTCGTCGACCTTCTGGGCATTTCTGTTCGCCTGGTATTTGAGTGGAATTTTAGTACAAATTTGGGACCCAGCCGCCGACGAGGGCGCCCCTTTTGGGTATGCAACAGAAAATTTTCGGCCGCCGAAAAATTTGATCGACCTTCTGTGCATTTCTGTTCGCCTGGTATTTTTGCTGATTTTTAGAAAAGCTGGCCGCCAGCGGACAGATTTTTAACGACCGTTGATTTTTGAATTTGCTGCAATCCTATATCCTTTGCAATAAATAAAATCACAAAATTTGTTAAATAATAATAAATAAATGATTTATTTTTGTTAAAATTAACAAATTTTTTTTTTTTTACATGTATTTTCAATTTTAGCTTAAAATGACTATAACAAGCTTAATTTAAGTCTGATCCTGGAAGAAATATCCTTGTTCGATTCGTAGAAGTCCTTAAAATCGATTAGAGTCCTTAAATCCTTCAATCTGAAAAGATAAAAACACATTTGAATAAAAAAGTCAAAACTGGGACATAGGGGTATTTCGAGGAAAGAAATAGCCATATCTCGGCCATATCCTTGCAGATTTTCAAAGGACATGGTGCGTTAGGATCGGAGGGACCAACTGCATCAAACTGCATTAAAACATTATGGGGTCATCTAAGAATCCTGGACTTGGTAACTTTTCAGTCGCGGGCCGTAAGGAAAAATTGACTGAAATCACTAAATTACAGTAAAATCGCGATATCTCTGAAACTACAAGGGCGATCTTGATGTCCTTTGGCCAGATGGTAGTCCTAGTCATTACAATTTTTTTGACACATGACTCATCAGGATACGCCAGGATATACCCAAGTTATAAGCTAATTTCGGTTTACAAATTTGTCCTTAAAACTTTTTTGTCTGAAGGACTATCGTCCTTTGGTTTGCATATTTGTAAATGGGAGGATGAGGACTATCTACTGTCCAAAGGACATCCCGATAGTCCTTCAAATGGCAAAGTTAGTCCCGAATTTTTTGATTTATGGCAATTTTCTGACTAAACCCCTGTGAAAATTTTTAGTGAAATTTTTTGTCGAATCCTGGAAATCCTTGAATGCCAATCGATAGTCCCACTCCCCACGAGTTCAGAAAGGTATATCCTTCTGGCATCCTTAAGGATACGGCCAAGATATGGCTATAAAAAGAATGTCCTTTTTAGAAAAGTGGCCATATATCGAAAACCAAAAGGACGATTTTGATGTCCTTTGGCCAGTTTGAAGTACTAGTAAATACAAGTTTTTTAAGGAATGAATTTACAGGATCCGTAAGGATATAGCTGAGATATTGCTATTTTAGTGTGCAAAACAAATGTCCTTATATCTTGGCTGCTTAAAGGACCTTCGTCCTTTTTAATATATTTTCTGAATGGGCAAAACAAGGACATTCTGATGGCTAAAGGACATGCCGAAAGTCATTAAAATGCCTCAGTTATGGCCAGTTTTGTAAAAGTATCCTTTTTACAAAAATAGCCGTAACTCGGCTATATCCTTGTAGATTTTCAAAGGACATAGTGCGTTAGGATCGTGTGGACGATCTGTATCAAAATATTAGGGGTCATCTAAGTAGCATGTACTTAGTAAAATTGTTGCGATGCACTAAACTGATAACAAAATCCTTTGTATCTTGGAAAGTAATAGGTGAATTTGGATGTCCTTTGACCAGTTGGTAGTGTTAGTCAATACAGTTCGATTGGGACAGGACTCGTCGGACCCATGGATATGACCGACTAAAGTCTTGTTTGTGTATACAAAAAGTCCTTTTTTTCTATGCTGGCTTAAGCGCTTTCGTCCTTCTTATAAAACATTTTCAAATTGTTGGATGAGGGCTATCAGCTGTACAAAGAACATCGGCCTTGTCGTTATGAAAATTTCAGGACTAACTTTGTCACTTGAAGGACTACGGGGATGTCCTTTAGTCAGATAGTCCAAATCCTCCTCATATACAATACTTAGAACTATAGTCCTTCAAACAGCTGAGAAATGTTGACTTTTTGTTGGACAACAACTAGGCTACAATTCGTCTATATCCTTGGATAGCCTGACGAGTCCTGTGTCAAAAAAATTAAATTGACAATGGCTACAAACTGGTCAAAGGGCATCGAGATTGTCCTTGTAGTCCATTTCCTTGCGGCCCGCGACTGCACAAATTGCAAAATTGTCCTGGATTCTTAGATGACACCCTAATATTGTGTTGCAGTTCAATGCGCTTGGTCCTTACGATCCCAACAGTACAAGTTCGTTGAAAAACCGCAAGGATATGGCGGAATTATAAGCAATCAAAAATTAGAATTTCTTTTGGGCTGCCGAAAAAAAAACATTGCATAACCGAAAGGGGCACGTTTGGCAGGTCAAGTAAAATTTTAATTTTTGATTGCTTATAACTCGGTCATTAGATTACAGATTTTTAAAGGACATAGTGCGTTAGGATCGTAGGGTTCAAGCGCACTGGTCCTTACGAGTTCAAAAATGTATATCCTTCAAATATCCTTAGGGATCTGGCTGAGTTATGGCCACAAATTGAATGTGTTTTATAGAAAAGTAGTCGTATCTCGAAAGTGCAAGGACCATCGAGATGTCCTTTGGCCGTATATAGTCCTTATTGTATATATATTATATATTATAATATATATATTTGTTCCTTGTGAACCAAATACGGACGAAAAATATGTCTTTTGGCCACCTGCTAGTTAGACAGTTTGGCATCTGCAAAAATGTGACCGAGTTATAAAACTATCCCTATATCTTGGTTTGACAAAACATGATACTCAGATGTGACACGCTTACCAGTAAGTACCAGCATCTGGATGGTGTGGGCGCAGAGACGTCGGCAGGATATCCAACGTCGTCCACAACTCTTAGCCTCATTTACGCCGAAAGCTGCCAATATCATCGGGCCCTTGGCCATAGCAGTCGGAAACAATTTCGCTTAGATCGATCTGCTACCCAGAGATCCGACATATTCAAATTAGGAAAAGTAGCTGTCCCAAATTCGCCTAAAATAAATGGACAATGCAGTTTAAACTGAAAGATCTTAAATGTATGCTCTTACCTTCAATCACAGCGAGTTGGCTGATGATGCCCTACCCCAGTTAAATTTAAAGATATCTGAGCTTCCTCTGCATCCACTTAGTTTCCGTAGCTCACAGGCCCTTGCTATATCCATGTTGCTGCTTGAACTATAGACACGAGGCACATTCAAATTAGCACAGATTTTTCAAAATCACCTGACATAATTGGATAATGTAGTATTAACTGAAAGACCTTCAACGAATGATCTTACCTGGTATCACAGCCTGATATGACGCAAGAGCAGTATACGTCAAAGATATCTGCCGAAGATATATTCACATAATTATACTGAGAACGATTGAAGATCAAAAATTCGCTCAGATAAAGCTGCTAGAACTTTAAAGATCTGGCACATTTCAGTTAGCTGAGCTATCCCAAGATCGCCTAAAATGATTGAATATTGAAATATCAACTGAAAGACCTTCAACTTATGATCTTACCTTGAATCACAGTGGTTGATGTGGCCTGGTGCACACCAGGCGTAGAAAGGAGAAAACATGCCGTGGTGGCTAGCAGAAGAGAGAAAAAGCATGAAAGGAAATTGAGCAATGCTTTTTCTCAGTGTAGGAAACTGAAATTAAAAAAAAAAAACTTTATTATATGCTAATCAATAGTCCTGATCCGAACGAGTCCGAGAAGGTATACCATTCGAAAATTGGACGGTATTTAGTCAAGATATTAAACTTTTATATTTATAACTCACAGCGTAACAACGCGTCTAACTACTCCAGTCAAACTAACATAAAATAAGAAACGACTGTGCAAACGCAAATGGCAGAAATAACGGCGCATAGAAAATAGAGCAGGCAAACGATCACAAGATAAATTCCCTCTCGGAGCACAAGCAAAACACACATACATATAACAGAAGATAACACAAACACACATGCATGTGCATGCAGAGTATGCCAATTTATGCACACATATGCATGTGTATATGCAAATTTTGGTTACTTTTCTAATAAGAACGTGATCACAAAATCGACTTTAACTTGGCTATTTAAATTAATAAAAAGTCCTCCTGTGATCTGCTATTTCTTGCTGGCGGGCAATTTGGGATTTAAAAAAATGCTCAGGGTTACGCGCATTATTTACTTCTACGTTCCAATTTTGCATTGTATATTTAGTCAGCAAGACGATATTTCCATATTTTAAACAGTCGCGCAATATATTATAATTTTGTTAAAGCATTATTTTGTCCAACCCCGTTAACGCTATCAGACGAAGCACACAACAAACTTTAAATAAACACTAGTTAGCGAGATTGTTAGTCAGCACTTTCGTCACACATAGTCTTCATGAATTAATTTGCACATCCGAACAGTCCTTTAATTTCAAGGTATTTAAATAAACTGCACATACGAAATTTTGCTTACAGAATACATTTAATTCGATGTAGTTGCCTGCGATTGTCCAAGTAATTTCAACGATCTTTAAATTGTTATTTAAATAACATGCTAAGAAAATCAGTATTTTTTTGTTATGGCTACTGCTGATTTCGACAAGTAAAATGTACTAATTTTCACATGTTAAAATTAATACCAAACTAAAAGTCCCTTTACATTGACCGCATATGTTATTTCGGTATGTTAAATATATAGACTATTGCAGTTTTATCGATTACTTTACCTTTACTTAACATAACCGCCCTGTATAATCGGCACGAACTATCGCAGAGGCATGTGTGTTTTGAGTTTCCTTTAACTTTGTTGTTGTGAATGTTTCATATAAATAAAGATGTTACGACATTGTAGCCGAATCGGAATTGAATATTTTCAATTAAATTTTAATAAATGTTCGGTCCGTCACATGGCTGGACATTCAAAGTGGGCAAATATAAAACATATAAAAGCCCAGAAGGACGGATTGCGAGCAGCCCTATTCACAAAGATTGCTAGGCAACTGCGATTGGCTGTGCAGGAAGGTAAATCCGCGGACCCTGCTGTGAACTCTCTCCTACGATCAGAAATAGATAATGCGCTGAAGAAGAATATGCCAATCGGAACAATACAGAACACAATAAAGAAATGCCAGCATAACAAGGCACAATTGAAAAAACATCGACTCGACATAAGATTCAAAAGAAATGTTTATATGATTTGTACCATTTATACTGACAACATGGCTGCCGTTAAGATGGATGCAACCGCAACGATAAAAAAGGCTGGGTGGGTTAATAATATAATTCATAATAGATGAAAAGTTTAATTAAAAACAACACTTAAGTTAAACAACTTTTCCAGTGGTTCATTTGTGGATGTGAGCCATATGTTTCAAGATTTTGGCCTTATCCAAACTCGTTACACTTCAGAGTTAGACAAAAATCAGCCCAGCTTAGAAGAAAAAGTAACTGCAGATGCCATTCAGTTTGGAGCAGAAGACGTAGAAATTGTTGATGTAACAAATGCTGCGGTAAATGTAAGTTTAATTTGGGTATTAATATATATAAAATTATGCTTAATTTAGTCTGTATTCTTAGTTTTTTTGCAGTCCTGTTATTTTGAGTGGCCTAAGCAGGACATTGGAGCAAAATGGATACAGCATTGAAAATAGCGAACATGTATTTACACCAAACGTAAGAAACTGGATTTTTTCTTTCATTTAAAAAAGAATTATGATTAAAGTGTGTTCATTATTTGTAGAGCCTTGTGGTGCTAGCTGAAGATGAACAGAAAGCATATGATGCATTTGTACAAAAACTACGGCTTGTTCCTGGCCTGGAAGACATTTATGACAACGTGGAGTAAAGTCATAGCATATTTAAATATATATATATATATATGTGTACTTGCAAATATTCTATGTTATGTCATGTGTATTTAAAGATGGGTGAGAAATATGTTATAAATTTAAAAACTATTTAAATTTATTGAGCCTACTGATAATATAACAACATTTATGCAATAAAATCTTTGTCAAATGCTCTTTTCAATATATTAGTTACGTGCTCTAATTTACAGATGATATTCATGGGCCATATTCTTTCCAGAGTTATTTGATTAAAAGACCAGCGAAATAGCTTCGGTCCATCTAAAAATTAGAAGGATTAAAATTATGTCGATTAACTTAAGACTTCGATTTTTGTTCAGACTTACGCTTTGTGAAGTCCGGCAACAATTTCTATGTGTTAAATCTAGGTATCCGTCAATGGAATATATATTCACAATGTTTAACAATTGTTTTTCAAGTTCATAAACAATATTAAAAATTGATAATTAATTTACATATAATTTTAGTCAGTAAGCATCTTGAAATAAATACAGAACTATTTTTTAAATTATATTTAATTGCTTTTAAAAACCGCAAATTTCTATTAATGGCTTATAAATTACAATTTTTCATTTTATTGGTACGCTATTTCCTTTGAAAAAATACATGCAAAACTATTATTGTTTTCGGTTAGCTGCCAAAACCAAGCTGGCAATTGTTTACAATTTAGGATTGTCAAACAGAGGGCCACGTGTAACTGTTATGTCTGCATACGGCGCAGCTTGTGTGATGTGCAACGCCTTGAATTTTTTCAATACGAGTAGGGAGTAGAACTTTTGTGCGGCCTGTTTTCTTGAATTTCGGACTGTTAGTTGCGAAAGCGTTAAATGATCGTGGTTGTTAAAGTGAACTCTGACATCAACAAAAAGTTGTGCTGCTCTTTTGTTTAACACCCGCTCCTCGAATTGCTCATCCGTTTCGTTTTCCATTTGTTCATCGGCGGTAGCATTCGGTAGGCCAACTGAAGGTGGAAAATCGTAATCATTCCAATCTGTTGAAATCTCGCACGTCTTATTGAAGTTATTGGCAGCAGATATAGATCTAGCTTCAGTGTCATTGAAAATAGAGCTGACTTGGTCAGGCGGCAAGTTTGGTATACAATCAATGTCACCGATTCCGCCATGATGTGGAGTCATTTGTCCATGCTCCAAGCCGGCAGGTGTTAAATCGCCGTGGTGGAAATCATCACCCATATCTTGATGACCGTCCCGGGGTGTTAATGGTAATTCATTGAGATTTGAAAAGTTTTCCATGTCATTGAACGATAACAGGGCTGGACTTCGCATATTCTCGAAAATTGCAGCGTCGCTTTGCGGTGCAAGGCTCTCCCGCTCTTTTGTGCTGATATCTAAAGACACGGCTGAGAGACCCAAAGATTTTTCTTGTTCGCGAATCATTTCAGGAGGCGCCAAACTTTGTGTAAGAGTATTATCTGTAGCTTGATCAGCAGTTAAATTTGCAGATACATCATTCTTACGCTTGCGTCCCTTTTTATTCACTATAATAATCGAGCTCTCGCCCTCCTGTGTGTACAGTTCCAACGCCAGGACATCCATTGGGGCAATACTTGAGAAGTCCTCCAGGGGCGTCGAATGTGAAAGTAATTGCCGGTTATAATTATTCAAAAGTACTCTAGCGGGTATAGTTCGAGATGGTAGAGCGAACAGCTTTTCAACCCCACCCGTCTCCTTCCAATACATTAACCTTTTTGTAGGTGGGGCCAGATCTAGAGTAGTAAGTATATCGGAAGTGTCTGCTAGTTGGGCTTTCATTTCCTCTCCCGAAATATTTTTAATTTCATCAATAATAAGCTTCCGCTTGCGCTTGGCCTTCGTGGTACCCTTGTAGGTAGTTGCATCAATGGGTGCAAGAGCGAATCCCTCGTCATCATTTTGTACAAGAGTTAAGTCATTTAATGCCGCATCGCCGCCAGAGGCATTGACGTCTTCATTGAAATTGTGGTCTTTTGCTGGAAAATTGTCCTCCTTGTCATCTGCAACAGAGTTGGCGCAGGACGATGCCGGCGATGGGGCGTTGTTGAAGTTGTCAATACCATCGTCATCAGAATAGTCTGGTGGATTGTTAGCTTCGTTAATTTCTGTATTTATTCCAACTGTTTGTGGCGGCTCGCCAAACAGATCATCCTCAAATAAAGTGGGCTGGCCAAAAGAATCGCCAAAGCCGTCGCCATCAAGACGATCGCTGGGCATTTCGGACTGTGTTATCGTAATATTCGGATCGTTCGATTCAACAACATTTGCCAAGACATCGTCGTCAAACAGCTGATCATTTATATTGCCCGACATGGGACCACGCATCATTTCAGGTGTATCTGCTTCAAATCCAATGTCTCCAAAGCCATCGTCCTGCAGGGAGAGCGATAAGCTGCCGTAATCTTCCCTCATTGTTATTTCATCGGCCCGGGATTGGTTGACGGAGAACTGGGCCTCAATATCAATATCGTTCAGTTCAGGCAATGCTGTGTCAAAATCGTGGAATACTTCTGGTAATGTTATGGCATTAACATTGGCTTCCCTATGGCCTTCTGGTAAGTCCACCATTCCTGGCCTAAATGCCATTTTGATTTTAACAAACGCCTCATTGCAATCTGCCAAGAGATATTTTGCCTTTCTTGAGTATATTCGCACTACACCAAGCAATAGATGTCCAGATGTACGTAGCGCCAATTTTACTTTTGGTTGTAAAATACCCTCCACAGATTTTTCTATGTTTGTTTCGAATACGTGTGCTTTTGTAATTTTTTTATCCCAATGGGCTGCTAACCAAATTCTGGCTAGCGGCCCTTTTTTGGCCAATATAATATGTTCGTAAAACATTATTTATATTATTTGTTACAATATTTTAATCGCTTTAATACACAAACAAAACAGAGATGCACAATTTGCTAAACAACATGGCGACCTAGATGCTACTCTAAATTTTCGATAGCCATATATCGATATTTTCATACAATTTAACAGTACAGAATCTGCATATTTAGTGAAAATTATGAATTATAGAGTAGAGATTTTTAAAATAAATTAATTAATAGAAAAAAATAGCGGTCAGCTAGATAAAATTATCACATATTAAAATTTATTATCGATAAGTGTCCAATGCTACCCCTAACCATACAATGCATCGTTTGGTTAGTGATGCTACTGTTAAGGCTCTGATGTTTGTTTGATAGAAATTTAATATCGATAAGTGTCCAACGCCACTGTTAAGGCTCTGATACTTGTTTGATTCAATTTCTATAACATTATTTTTCAATTCGAAAAAGAAATAAAATCCGATTTTATTAAAGAAAATAATGAGTGTTCGGTCAGTAAGTATTTATTCAAAATGTTAGCGAAATATCTAACACACAATTTTTGTTTTAGGCAAAACATTTTGGTATTTTTAAATTTCTATAGCTGGTCACACTGTGTTCACATATGTTTTGTTGGGAATATTAATATTTCTTAAACAATATATAAATATTAAAAAAACGCGACAGAAAATGGCCCTTAATGGGTTTTTGGACTTTTTTCAAAAGGGAAAGGTATGTCCAACTTCTATTTGCTGTCAATGTGAAACCAAGAGCTAGAGTATTGATCGTAAATACTTTAACAACTGCATGCATATTGACATTTGTGTTTTTACAATGAAAAATAGAACCTATGCGTAAAACATACTCATATTTATTTATTTATAGACTTTTAGGCCCAAAAAGAGGTTTACCGCTGGTACTATTCGATATTCGCTTCACAAACAGGCCCAGGCTAGTTTGCAATCTGGTATCAATTTACGGCAAGTTGTGCGATTGCCGGAAGGCGAGAATATGAATGACTGGTTAGCAGTGCACGGTGGGTACCTTCCATCATATACATATATGTATATAGTCAATTAATGTTTGATATAATTTATCGGTATATATATAGTTGTTGACTTTTTCAATCGCATCAATCTCATATATGGCACCGTATCTGAATACTGCAATGAAACAACTTGTCCAACAATGTCTGGAGGCTCCCGATATGAGTATTTATGGGCAGATGGAGATATGTAAGTAGTCGTGCAATGCGTTATTATAGTGTAAATTATTTGCGCCATCGAATTATAGGTACAAGAAACCCACTGCGCTTCCTGCACAGAAATATATTGAGCTTCTCATGGACTGGATTGAAACACAAATTAACAATGAAGCAGTATTTCCCGTTTCCACTGGTACGAACTTCTCTAACATAATATGAACCAAATAATTCAAAATTAAAAAACGTTCTAAAGAATGTATTCTTAGGGCACCCTTCTGAATTGTTTAATCGCTGGGCCCCTTTTTAAGTTTTTTGATATAACATGTTTGCTCTTGTTTATTATCAACTGATTATATGTTATCTGTATGCTTGATTTCAGATGTTCCTTTCCCCAAAACGTTTGTGTCACTCTGCCGAAAAATTTTAACAAGATTATTTCGGGTCTTTGTACATGTCTATATTCATCATTTTGATAGAATTGTAACTATTGGTGCGGTAAGTAGTCTTCATAGCCAAAAACAATATATGAGAACCAAATATTCCAAATATTAATACATATTTTGTTCGTGTTTTATTGCAGGAAGCGCACGTAAATGCTTGTTATAAGCATTTTTATTATTTTGTGCAAGAATTTGAACTGATATCTGCCAAGGAATTAGAGCCACTTCACGAAATGACTTCGAGAATTTGTAAAGACAAAGAATAATCATTTTTCAAGCATAAAGATAATTCTAGATTTTATAACTTTTAAAATCCAAGTCATAATTTTATGTTGATTTTCATATACTTTAATTTGATATATGATTGTAAGTTAGCTATAAGTCTGTGATGTCCAAAATCTCACCATTAAACCGATTCACAGTGTTTTGAAGAACAATTTATTCTTTAAATGAGTTTGCAAAAATGTAGAAGCCACTTAACTAAGGTTACAAAAGTTGTTTTTTATTGGCTGAATTGTAAAAAGTGAAGCTTGTACAGGTATAGCTGATGGTGGACGAGCATTGAAAGCTGCTTCTATTTAAACAAATATTGGTTTTGCTTGTAGAGTTCGTTCCACCCATATATGAAGGAATAAGAAATGACTAATGAGGAGCAGCACTTTAATATGAAATATTAAAATGATGGCACCAATTTTGACAACAACAATGGCGTGACATGTTAAGCTCAAGTTCTTTTCTACTTTGAAGGCGATGGTCGTTACTGTCACTCAATTTAATGTGCTCTGAGCTTTCTTGTGACTCACCTTAGCGCTTATAATCGACACGAAAAGTGAAACTTGTCCAATGTGAATCAAAACTTAAATTTGATTCTTAAATACCCAGGCGAATAATAAATAATTTGGGATATTTAAGCATATCTATCAAATGAGAAATAAACTGCAAACAACGAATATGAAACTCCACCCACATAGGCGATTGCACGGAAAATTATTAGGTGTTTTATACACTCTTAATGTGTATACAGCATAAAGCGGCTATAACCAATAACAGTAAAGTAGGGTTGAGCTAACAACCTACAACCACTTTACAAGAACAACCAGCCCGTAAAGACCAATGAGAATAAATTGAAAAGAAGTAGGCAGGGCGACACCTTGTTCTACGAGCCGTGACTACTGTTTTTAGGGGTTGTTTTGATAGTCCAAAAGAGCGAACCCCAAGGAGCGAGCAATTGGGGAACAGCTTATGCTATTACATTAAGTATTTTAATTATATAATATTATGTTTATTTAATTTAATGAAAAACTTGTATTAAGTATTATTACTATTGACTCAAATGAGGAAAGCTTTCTGTTTAGAGTGAATACATTTGCCCAATTGTAGTGTAAATATGTTGTTAATAATAACCAAAAAACCTTGGAGTTGAAAAGTTATATATGTAGGAATCAATCAGAAGGTTAATATGTGGAATTAATTGCACCATTAACTATATGTTTAAGTATGTGCCAATTGCAATACATATTTTGCATCACGGTTGTTGATTTAAGCATGTGTCTTCTCTCCGAGTGATGTATCTTTCTCATAAAAAAGCAATGTGATTGCATGAAGCTGAGCTGAATGGCATGCGCAGCAGACAAGAGCGGCATAGAATTTTTCTGAAATGAGCACAGACTCATCTCTGTGTTAGTTTTTATTTGGTTTGGAAAAGGACCTGTAATGCTATTGGCGTTTCATGCTAAGTAGTCGACCGTTTTATTTTGTAAGAGCAACTATGTATCGGAGTAACAGTGCTGTGAAGTTTTCAATATTAAAGAATCCATAATATCGCCTAAATCGGTTTGCTTGCAAAAATGGAGCAATTAGCACAGTTTGTAAACAAATCGTTTGAATTTAATTTAACTCATAATCGGGTTAATCATTTGTTTAACTCAATGACAAGTGCTCGTGTTCATAAACTAGCCGACGCAACAACAAAGTCTATATTGGTCAATACAAATAGATTGGGAAGAATTTCCGTCGATAATTGCACCAATGAGGACGAATCCATGGATATTGATATAACCGATGTTTCTGTTGCGGAAGAAAGCAGCTCTGAAGATAAATCGATCCTACCAAAACCGATATCATTAGTTAAACTTCGTTCGCTACAGCAGCAATCAATTTCAACTATCTCCAATAATGAACATTTATGTAAGACTGATCCTGCTCCTAAGCCCAAAAACTGGCTAATTTCTGATCTATTGGTGTCCGACGCACATTCGGAAGGTAACAAAACATAAGTTAATTTACTCATTAACGCAAACACTCCAATTAACAAGTTTATAGTGTGTGTCTGAAGATATGTTCGATAAAAAAGAGGTGTGTGAATAAAGAATATTGCGTAAAGTAAGACAGCTACATTGGAGATACCTTCGAGTTCTCTCATAACTTTGAAGTGTATGCATGCTAATTTATAGATAGATTATGTTCATCATTTTTCGTGAGTAAATACACGTATTGTAAGGGCAATAGGTTCTTATAAAGATTTAAATTCATCGAGCAGCTGATTGAAAGGCGAAAATCAGAATCTTAGGGATAAATGATCATTCAACACATATATTCATTTAGTAGTAGAATGTATGAATGTAATTACAAAAGTATTGTGAGTTTCTCGGGCCTGGAGACGGCCTATATATTCCTACACTGCAACATTCTAAGCTGTTTTCTTATTTTCTTGTAATGTCTTTTCGGCTTTCGTAATTTCAGGTGATAAATGTGAAAAGCCCACTGCTGGTTCCGATGATACCAACACCTGTGTATTAAAACCAGTTAACAGTAATCCGAAAAGCAATGGCGACCTGAGATCAACATGCCAAGAGCCAGATTGTAAAACCAGTAGCAGGAGCATAACGGATATGAAAGTTTATGATATCGAAACTTCGCTAAGTAAATATAAACAATTATTTTGAACGATATAGGCGCATGCAATACAAACTAAAAGATCTTCGATTGTAGACCCAAAGCAGTGATTTTAAGCTGTGTCTATAAGATAAAGATTTTTGCAGTTTGTCGGGGCAGGAATGTGACCACAATATGTTGGGCTTGATCATCAGAGGGGATCAGAGCGGGCCTTCTTTCCAATTTCGGGCAGTTTATCTATTTTTCGTGGTTTGCCCGCCCCTATTGGGGGCTAGTTTTTTCTTCAGATCTTCAGAGGATTTCATCAAAAGTCAGCAGCCGAGCTGATCTATATATTCGTCCGTCTGTTTGTTTAATCATACTCTGCGCAGAAAACGGAAAATATTTTGATTTGTAATTGTCCGCCTTGCTGTGTGCCTTTTAGTATTATAGCAATTTTTTGACGATATTGAAGCTATTCCACCCAGTGACTCCAAAATTTATCCGCCAAACACAATTACGAAAAATTGTTTTCGACCTAATTAGAGATCAAACAATAAATTCGGAATGTATATACATATATAAAGAAGCATACAGAAAATCACACATACATACACATATACACGGCGCTCATGGAGATTTTTGGATCGTTGCCCTTACAACTGTGAGATACCTACCTTATATTTTTCTCAATATGTCAGTGTGGGCAAATGCAAAACATTTTGAACCGAACTTTAGAGGAGCTAACCATAGGTTTTATTTAAGAATAGGTCACTTTGAAAATTCCAAAATGGGCGTAGCAATATAATTTTACGATATCACAAATTTCAATAAGATTAAACAAATTGCGTTCATACGGGCGGGCGGAAAGTAAGACGGACGTTGCACAAAACCAATATATTTTTTTAACATCTGTGAACGAGTATCATTTCAGAGTACCGATGAGAACGTCGGCACTTTACGTTGATTCCTAAGATTCCAATATAAACTAAACATTTTTCTTTATGATTTATTATAAAAACTTTACAGAAATGAAAACTTCTGCAACAATTACAATAAACCTAAACGAAAGTTCAAATGATAGTAATTCTCCAGAAATATCATTGCACAAGGTGGTCCCTTCTGAAAAATCTTTATCTCCGGAACCACAAACAACAATAGGGGAAAATGTAGCACGATTAGAACCTTCAGGACTTAGTAGTAAACAGCGACGATCACGAACCAACTTTACGCTTGAGCAGCTCAACGAACTAGAAAGACTTTTCGAAGAGACCCACTACCCAGATGCCTTTATGCGAGAGGAACTAAGCCAGCGATTGGGACTCAGTGAAGCACGAGTGCAGGTGAATATTTACATACTAAAAAAAACTATCATAACTTCAATCAAATTACGGAGTGGTAAGTAGATAAAGTAACAAATCAAACAGTTAGATCGATATAAGAGCACAAATCAAAATTCAATTTGTATTAATTATAATAGTAGCTGGGGACAGTCAAGATTTACTTTTGCCGATTTTAAGTGAAGTCCTGCAACAAATTTGGCTTTCCAACCACCAGCTTACCAAGAGATATGGGGTGTTAAGTGGTTTACGCCGCCCTTCGTTACAATTATGCCCAAGTAAGAAAGTTGTAGAAACAACAGGGGGCCGATTACAACTTAAATGCTCAATCAGGGCGACTCTTAATGGACCGCTCTGTGGTAATGTATGAACAACGTACTGGTTCTTACAAGTGCAATAAATTACAATTCCCTTACACATACATACTTACAATAAATTTATTCTAACTAATGGATATGAGCAATGCTAACACTTAGTTCTATAAACTTTGGATATGGCTTGTCAAATGTCATGTGGCTATCGTTGTTGGGATAATGGTTCCTAAGATTATTATCATCTCAGATGGTAAAAAAGACCGTCGGTTTATCAGCTTAAATACGTTTTTTTTAGTCGCGTTTTCTGTCTTTGCTACTTTAAGTGATCCCTGGGGGTATTAAGCAATATTATCTCTAAACTCTTAGACAACAGAAAGTAATCGCTTTTCAACTATCTACGCCGATGTAAATTCGGATCAACACATTCTTATAATTAGCAATTGAAATAAGTATGAAGTTTTTTTAAAAGGCTACCCTTTCTTTTAAATATTTTTAGGTTTGGTTTCAAAACAGAAGAGCCAAATGTCGAAAACATGAAAATCAAATGCATAAAGGTAAGTAAACGAGTTGATTATCGTGTTCTATTGTTTAAGAAATTATCTTGAAGAAATTCGAATATGTTTTGGGAAATCTAAGGTTGTATATTATACCTTTTTAATCAAAAATATTGCATTGTTATATTATCACGACTGAAAATTTGTGTAAGTTTAAAAGTTATTCAAGTTTTTCAGGAAAAAGTCCCTGCCAATATAAACAATATATTTTTGTATAATTTATGTTGGGAAAAACTTGAATAACTTTTAAGCTTACCCGAATTTAAAAATGACCAGTTATTCCTAAAAAAATCATTGAAAATATGGCTCGAGGTCTTTAGCCGTCGCTAAAATTTGCTTTTGACAAATTCGCACTCAGCGTGGCTTCGAAGGCAGCGAATTGCTCTTTTATAATGTAAACGCCAATGGGTAACGATTCAGAAACATTGTATGATGTTAAAATTAAAATTATCGCTGTTTTGAAATTCGCATCTGCCGTGATTTTCCCGTGAATTCCCCTTCGGATATACTGTGTGCAGCGTGACAGCGACACAAATCATTGCCAACTTAATCAAATTAAATATTCCAGCCGTAAAAGTGGAAAATAAAAATGTTATCGGCGAAGCTGGGGCGTTGATGAATGAACACGAAGCAATCAGAGTAGAGGATGGTTGGGTGAGATCTTGATGTATTAATGATGATACATTTAAATAAACTGTGAAACCATGACATATTGTGTTAAACAGTTGGTTAAATACAGACGCCAGAGACATTAGGACAACTGTGGCATTACAGTTAAGCTGTAAACTTTCAACATTTACTTAACTAATTGCCATGTTCTTTTAAATTTACATAAATTAAAATAATCTCCATGTTGTATATAGCGACAGAAGGATTGTGGCTTAGGATGGCATTAGCAAGGGTGCAAATGAAATTAAAGAAAAAGGAATAGTACAGATGAAATTGAAATAACAATTTCAACAATTTTCAATCTCGGAGAGTGGGCTCTTAAAGTCCTTACTTCTTGGTATATATATAAGTAGTATATATATATATTATATTTATGCATTTGTGAATATGTAATTAATGATTGCTGTAACATCGATGTGGCCTTGTTCTCTCTCCACTTACCTCCCCTTTGCACCCAGCTGGCTTTGTTGCACGAATTTGTTAAATATGACTTTATGACTTGATTACATAGCACGACGGGGACTCAGTTGTGTGTTGTCATGCCACAGACACAATTTATTTGTACATGTGCATACGTATAACGAGCGGGTATTGCCCGGCCTTGCCCGTGGCAAGTTTGGTGCTCTACATTTTAGATTTAACTTTTTCACCCAGTTCCCTGGCGTGAAAATACTAATCTGTTTGAAAATATATTTAGGGTCTATCGTTTTAAGAACCAAACGTTGGAATTTTTAATGCTAAAGCGGTGGATTTCGCGAAAAACATCAAATAAATTATCACAAAGATCTTTGAAAATGAGTTTGAGGCCGATACGGTGGTAAAAAAAAAATAGCTAATTTTCCGCTTAATTTCCACAGTTGTGGGCGGAATTACCGAAATCGTTGAAGCACATTAAGTTCCTATAAGTTTGAGGGCTTTGAAGATAAGTTTCAAGCAATTTTGACAAAACTGAACACTTCGTCACAAAAATCATGGAATCGCATTTTTCAGAGAAGAAGCTCGTATTCTGCAAAAAGTGTGAAACACGCCCCCAATGAGTTTTCTTAAAAATGCTTGGAAGTTAATTTGAATACGAAGTGCTCCTATATCTTTGATCTCTATTTATACCCTATAATGAATTTTCTGAGAAGTGAGACACCTCATAAATCAAATTTAGCAAAGATCTTTGAAAATTACGGCAAACAAAAAAGCTTCATACAACCCTTTCCGCGATTTTTCCACAACAGCGGGTGGAATTTCACAAGACCCCGTCTAAGCGTTCTTAGAAAAAACTTCAGCTTCTGGGTTTTGATCATTATTCAGTTAGTCAAATAGTTAGGACGAATAGGTTTATATATGTAGAAAAAGGGTATAGTAAATTGCACTACTTTGGCTTTGCTGTATACTACGTTTATATTCTATTTGATTTATGTATCATATTTGATAACTATGTTTTTCCAACAACAAGAAAGGTTCTTATGTCGAATCGATAAAGAAATTGTGTTATGTTGTGCCATATTTCAATGATTCAATAACCGAGGTTAACTAAAGTACATATGGCTGTACATACATAAATTGTTGAATAAAATGTTCTTAGGGGGCAGAAAACAGTCTATGGCCGCAGCAGCAAAAACAAAGTAATCAAATTAAAATTCGAATAAAAAAAGAAAAAACCACCTTTTTCATACAGAGTAAGGTATCGTTTTATGGGCTTATATCAATTCTCAGACTTTTTATCGCCACGAAAATAAAATAGCCCTAAAAGCAAAACACTGCATAAATGACGAAGCTAACCTGGTCTTGGCCTTGTGGTCCCTTGAGTGTCATTTTGATATGTGTCCGTCTGGCCTTGGTCCAGAGATGGGGGTGCACCAGCAAATTGCGGCAGTAAGAGCGAGAGTATCAAGCCCTCAACTCGAGGGTGTTTTCATGGCAATAAATTAGAAAATGAATTCAATTACTTGTCACGAGTTTTTGTACCGATTTGCCAAATTGGGATGTTCATTTGTATTTATGTACTTGCATTTAGGTGTGTGCCTATGTAAATTATTTACACATAGAATCATACTTTCTCAAGAGTAAGTTCTACTATTAGTTAAGGGCAGTTCTGGATAAGATGGCTTATGCTTAAATAAATGATACAAAAAGGTTGTGCTGAGTATTTAAGACCCCGAAGACACGTAACACATTCGCTATAGCTATCAGATCTTAACTTGACCTTTATAAACGATAAGAGCATATGTGTGTACTGTGTACTGTGTACTAAACATGCAAATGGATAATTTCTGAGAGCGAAGCGTTCATACAGACGGACATGACTAGATCGATATGTACCTGATACATATTTTTGTACAAAAACATCATACGCTTATCCAATTGGATTGTAGGGTTAAAAAGATGAGTACATGATAAATTAAATGTTTTGATAAGAGTGCATATTTATGGAAATTAAAAGTTTTACGTACTTTGGTATGTACTTCATTCTTTGTTTGATTCATGCAAAATATGTTGAATATTGCAGGTATATTACTAAGTAGCCGAAGCCCGCCGGTGTCAACGCCTCTCGAACCTTGCCGAGTGGCGCCTTATGTAAACTTGGCTACAATCCGCAATACAAATACGTCTATTATGCCATCAACTAACGCTTTAAGCTCTGTGCAGCATCAATCCGGGAAAAGCGCCGTCAGCATTGTAAATAATCGGGCTCCCTCGCCAGCGGCTGTTGTGACAGCCGCAGCTGAGCACTTTTCAGGCAGCGTTGCAGCAGCAGCAGCATTTTCCGCCTTCGATCCAGCAATTTTATCTGCTGCTGCACACCAGGTAGATGCATAAAGCATAATTTGTGAATTGGGTTACTTATGTACTTTGGTTGTTTCAGTATGCGGCGGCAATAAGTAATAGAAGCAGACCCACTGGACTTTTCGCATTGCCGCAGTATCCGCTTCATTTGGCCGCGTTTGCCGCCGCGCACAAGAATTCCAGCATAGCGGATTTACGAATGAAAGCTAAGAAACACTCCGAGTCGTTGGGCCTTGAAGCAGATATAGTTATTTAGTACATACTTTACGAACTAAATTAGAGTAAGACTAGTCTAGAGTTGTCTATTTTAAGCAATCTACTATTTTATTGATATTGAAACAATTACAATAATTACATTTACCATACTATTACCAGATGTTTACTATCGATTTGTTTCAATAAATAAATATTAGTTGTCTTGTTTTTTAAGTTTTGCTTAAGTTTTTGTATGTATGCAGTTTTTCAATTCGGTGTGACAAAACATATTTCATAATTAGACTATTTCATAATTCAGACTGTCTAGAGTCTGGAGCCAAATCAAAAAAAAAATGCCACGAAAATACACACATTTTAGTAGAAGAAAAATACCAAAACGACAGTTATATGAACTCGCTATCGATAACAGAAAGTCTAAAACAGTCTTCTGTTATGTTAAAAATTCTACGATGAGGAGCACTCTGTTAACATTAAACGAGATTGACAAGAAACAAAATTAAGTTTCAATTATTAATCAATTTTGCGCATCGTAAATATGGCAGGATTACATATTGTAAGCTCAAAAGAAACAAATGGATAAATTGTTGCGCAAGTTCAAAAATTAAATATTAATCATACAAAATCAAATCATAAGTTACACAGAGACGTAACAATTATAATCATTATAAATTAATGATATATTTTATATATTCATATTTGATTTACCATACTAAACCGATTATATTTTGTATAACCTTTTTTTCTGATTCCCCTGACCTATTTGAAACACGGCTGAAGTGTGTAGTATTTTTCAGATGCAGTATTTTGCTACGCTAACCGTAAATTAGTATTTCAGATTCGGAGGATACGGTCGCACTCTAACTTTCACAACGAAAATATTTTATTTTTATTTGTTATTTCTTTTCATTGAAATATAACTAGATAATTTAAAATAAAATAACAAGTTATATTACAAACGCAATGTCAGCATGTTAATAAATGAAAATTACGATGAAGGCAAAGTGCTAAGATTCGAGCTAACAAGCCATCCCATTGGCAGCCAAGATCCGATCTCCATCTAAAGTATGAAACGAACATACATAGAGTGAAAATAAAGAAGTGACGTTTGCACTGTCTAGACTTTGAAGGTTGTTTTTTTTGTTCGTTTTTGTGATTTGTAAGTTATTTCTTGGGATAATTTACACAACTAATGTGTGTATGCATTTAAAAAATGTTAACGCTGTGAAGTTTGACCTTTATGCTTTTTATATCCTGTTCAGTTGCTTGACTTAATCTACACATATATTAATTATTAATAATATAAAAAGTAAATGTCGTTGTTGCCAGTTGCGCATTCGCATCCTCAACGTCAGATGAAGCGCAGGGGCTGAAATTGGGGTGTAGTCGTTGCTTGCTCATTTCATTCATGTGTTGCGTTTGTGTCTGTGCGTATTCCAACATGTATGTGCATTAATACGAGTATACATACATGCATACATACATTGAGATATACACATACATCTTCTTTCTTTTCTTCAATAACGTTTACTCCAAATAGCATAATTTCTTGATGTTGGCCCAACTCCTGCTCTATCTATTTTTTTGTATTTTCTTTATACGTCAACTTTATTTTTGTTGATTGGAAATGCACGTACTGCGTTTAATTTACACTTTCTGCTTGGCTGACTCAATTAATTCTTTTAGTTTAGCTACTGTCGGTGCTCTATTACCTTTTGCTTACTTACAAGATACGCAGTTGCGCATTCAATTTGTGCAACAGCAGCAGCAAGCGTTAGTGAAGTCATTAGCCCCTCAAAAGCTAGACAAACTATGGCTAGTTTTAAGCTTTGCTGCTCTAGTCCCGTTTTCACTCCCTCTTCATATTTGTTTCGGTTTCTTTTTTTTTGTGCCATGAACAAACACATCGAAAGTGGTTAAAGAGAGTTCAACGGTTTTGTACAATTTTACGTCTCAGGCTTTTCCAAGTATATATACATGTTCTTGATCAACATCAACAGCAGAGTCGATCTAGTTATATTGTTCATACGTCCGTTTGTATAAACGCGTCGATCTTGGAGACTATAAGAGCTAGATACTTAAAATTTTGAACGTGGATTCTCCTATTATTGGAAAATATTCTTCTCTTTTCCTGATTCCTGATCGATTTCATGGTTTTGGCCATATATCGAAGTTTAAATGAGCTAGCCACACTACATTTTAAACGAAGCTTTTAATATTAAAGCTTAACATATATAAAATATTGATTAAAGTTGGGTTTGTAAATACACGTAGTTAAATGTATGTTTTCAAGCTCTGTCAGTGTCCGTATATTTTTAAAATATTTATATCACTTTTAGACCACCTATTCTTAGCTTTATGCAATTGTTAAATTGTGTGCAGAGTCTAACATTTGCAAAATCTTGTCTTTTAGCTAAACCATATATCTACTTATTGTATATTGAGTAAGGTGATTAAGATGTTGTGATGGCGAAAATGGCATCTGGTGACCTTTCGTTGACCAGCACGAGCAGTCAAGAGGGTGAGTAGTAAAGCTTAAGTCGGAGTCAATGCGACAGGGAGTATCTTAATCCTTTCATTGTTGCAGAAGAAAGTTCTGAATATGTGGGCTATGATAACACACTGCGACCGCCTTCCAACTCGAGTGGAAGCACAACAGCCGCTAATATGGCCAACAATAATGGACCTACCAAGGTTGTCAGCAGTGTAGGAGGCGTTGGGGGAGTTGGTGGCAATGTTAAGAAATACGAACTACTACAGTCACAGTATGAATCAGCGATGCTGGAGCTGAGCACGCTGCGGCACCAGCATTCGAGCTCGGAGCGGCGTTGTGATGAATTGGCCACGCAATTGAATCTTTATCAAGAGCACTACATGGCTGATCGCAATAAGTTTACGGACATTGTGGCTGAGAGTGCACGCCTAAAACACAAATTGATGTTGCTTGAGAGTCAGAACCAGAACAATGGAAATGCTTCAGCTCCACAACAGTCAACAACCAGTAGCAACGCCTTTTACTATAGTAAGTTGCAAACGCCATGCGATGGCAGCTGCAATAGCAGCGAGAAGTTGGCGGAAATGAAAAAGGAGCGCAATTTGATAGCTATGGAGCGGGAGAAATACAAGAAATCATACATTGAGCTGGAAAAGGAGCGCAACTTTTATCGCGAACGCGGCGATGAGAATCAAACTCTTAAAGTTCTACTGTCCAAGGAGACAAAGCATGTTGTTTCATTGACCGAAGAGCTAAACCAGCTTCTTTCCGAGAAAGACAACGTGCTGCAAGAGCATCAAAAGATGTCTGATGATCTGGCGCTAGCCAACAAGGAAATCGATCGTCTTAAAAAGGATGAGCTTGTATACAAGAACGAATTAAAGTCCTTGCAGTTAGCAAATGCAGAGCATAAGAAGCGTGATCTACTAAAGTCGCGGGAGAGCAGCTGGTCTAAGGAGTTCAATAATGATAAAGAGGAGTTGGAAAAGTTACGTAAGAGCCTTGACAAGGCTCAGTCTGAAGTTGAGCGCGCAATGCAGGATACCGAAGAGGCAAAACGTGTGCGCGACTGGGCAATCTCACAACGTGAGAAAATCGTACAGGAGCGTGACTCAGTAAAGACGCTCTGTGATAATTTGCGCAAGGAGCGCGACAAGGCGATATCCGATTTGTTAATGGCCATACGCGACAGTGAAAAAATTAAAAAGCAAAAAGATGAGGCACAAAAGAAAATTGATGCACTCAAGGAGCAGCTTGAGAGTCAAACGACAACAGCGATGCCTTTCGATAGCGCCTCACGCCGCAGCTTTCGCTTAAGCAGCTTTGAAAGCGGCGAAGATCTGCTGGAAATCGAATTGTGCAACTACCATGACTCAGATCTGGGCATAATACTAGACGATAGTAACAAGCGTCAGCTGGTTTGTGGTGTCACCAATAGTTCCTCTGCGTTTGGCAAGCTCAAAATTAACGATGTAATATGCAAGGTAAATAATTTGGAATGCCAGGGCGTATCGAAACGCATGGTTCTAGACGAAATACGCGCATGTGCACCACGATGTCTGCTGCTCGTAGCACGCACTCGTCACAGCAAAAGGCACTCGTACGCTGTGCAGCTTAAAACGAACGGTCGTGATTCTATCGGATTGCAGCTAGACATGGGCGTTTTTATAGCCAAAATAGAGCCCAACTCGCTGGCTTTCTACGAGCCGGAGCTGGATGTGGGGGACCGCGTGCTGAGTATAAACAATAAATCAATGGATTCGTTGCAGTCTATTGATGAGGTGATGCAGTTGCTTAACACTGACACTGTCAACATATTTGCTTTAAAGTATGTGCCGGAGCAACAGTCCGATACGCATTGTCGCATGACGAGCTCATCAGCGCAGACCGATAGCTCCATTGACTCCATGCAACAGTTAAATAGTAGCAGCGGTGTTGCTAGTGGTAGCAGCAGTGCCGCAAAGCATCCGTCCAAATTTGCAGACTTTCTCCGTAAACTGAAATTCAGTAAACCGGGTACTGCCGATGATAGCTTTGAGCAGGAGCACGATGTGGCCATTGCGGCTTTAGATTCAGTGCTCAGCGAAAATAGCTCAGAGAAGAGCAAAGAGAATCTCTTCAAACGCCACAAGCGCGGAAAAAAGGGCGAAAAAGAGGCGAAAAGCATGGGTACCTGGCCCCGCACCAACATCTCACACGATAATCCAACAGGCACTATTGTCCAACGAGGTGGTGAGAAAAAGCGCGCGCTTATGTCACTCTTTACTGCTGGGCCCATCAACGTGGATAAAGATGATGATGTCGTAGATCAGGTTGAGTCGAAGCCACAATTGCAGCTTCAGGAGCTTCCGCCGCCACCGTTGCCACCGCAGCTGTCCAAGCCGCGCAACGTTAATGGCGGTACAATCAAAACGCATCCCAATCGCAATTCTAACCCAGTTGGCAATGTGGTGGCATCCACACTCTTTCAGCCTGGCAACGTGGGCGTCACTTATCCGCGACATTCGCTATATGGAGGCGTGGTTACGTTGCCGGAGGACAAGCAGCAGATGCAGCGACCCGCACCGCTAATGGGCGCCAATGCACGCGTGA